AGATTTTCTGTCCTATATTGGACTCTGCTACATAACTAACAAGTACAAAAAAATGAGAGGCGATGATCATTAGGGTATGCTTTTTTTATGACGAAACGGTGGCGAGCCGTAATGATGGTATGCCTGAGATAATGATAGTCCTAGCGCGCCCTTTCCCGCCGAATGACCGAACAGAAACAGAAACATCACGGCGCCACACCCACCAGCGGCACATGCTCTTTCTCAATCTCTCCCTCCTCTCCAAACCACGTAACTGTGTCCGGGAGTAATGCTTCGTGTGGTCCAGCAAACATATCCTCTGGGCCAAGCTCATGTTGGGTATCGTGGTGAGCCTGGGATACCAGTCCGTCCTTTACATAAGACACTGAACCCATCCTAGTGGCATCAGGGCTGCTCCACTTTGACCTCCCAACGGTGAAGCCGCCCATCGAGCTCTCTCTCTGCGATGAAGGCGTTGTCGTCGTAGATCTGTGATGTACGCGCGACACAGCCGCCTCGCGGAGATGCAAGAGAATCCGAGCGGATAGGATCGAGTGGAGGGCGCGTTGTGTTGCGGTGAGGAGAGTGGAATAACCATGAGGGGCAGTGAGGAGTACGACGACATTGATAACAGAGAGTAAACAGAGATATATGTAATTCATGATACCATCACGGTAGAGGACAGATATAAGTGTAGTGCTTTCCCCACGGACTGTAAGGAGGGTAGGCGTTATTGATAAATAAGGAAAGTGAGGTGACATACAATGCTGTACACCCTTTACCAGTGTGAGAGCCAAAACAACTGGATGGATGGGGAGGTCGAAACAAAATAATAATGAAAGGAGGGAGGAAGACGTACTTGTTTCAAACGTCATCACGAATATAAATACAAGCCATAAGATGGGATTTTGTTTGTCTAAGAAGCAGCCCGGGAGATTTGGACCGGGAGGGCTCACAACTACGACAAAATGCATTACTTCTGGAATAATTCGGATAGCAGTCGATATACTCACAAACGAGGGAATACAGCGCAACTTTGAGAAAGTAAAATACAGGTACCCATAATCCGGCAAGGGTTACAGCGAGGAAGATCCCGATACGGTGGTCACGGTGCCAAATTACCCAAGTACGCAATGCCAGGATTGTTTCTGAGATCAGGGTTCCGACGCCGAGGAGAACTGTGAGGGACTCGGACGTGGGTGACGGGGGAGGATAGCTGAAGAAAGAGATGACATACAGCCAATGGTGCGATAGAGAGTTTGACATTCTTCTGCTGAAAGAATTGCGAATTGGTCTATAGCCGCACGACGAGAACGTGAGAGGTGGAATAATATGACTGATGACGGACAAACGATATAGAACCATGAAGGTATCAGCAAATACCGGATATCTATCAATGCAGCTGAGTAGTCGTTCGTGGTATTGAAATAAAGCGTGTTCACCGTGTCAAGAAAAATAAAATTTTCCCGACATTCCATGGCACAGGCCACACGAGACGGGCCTCCCTCTCCACGGTGAGAAGGTAGTCGTACATGAGGACTGCCGCGGCCACGACTAAAAAATAGACTTTAGCATGGTCATGCTCAGCTTCCGTTTGCAATGCGACACACTGTCCAAATACTGTTATACATGGTGAGCACAGTGCCTGATAGATACAATAGAAAGGTGTAATTCACTGTGACATTCTGCTTGATCAAGGCAGACGCAGCGGCCTTGGACAGCGAGGACATGGCGGAATTCCACAGCTGGCACAGGTTGATCTCCCAGTGAGAACACGCTGCATTATAACCCCTATATTTTTCGAGGAAATTGCTCTTGTCATCAAATAACTGGAATATTATTCAGCAGTTGTCAGGACCCCAATTCCACCAGCTGCCAATCGGAACATATGAGCACCGAATGTGGCCCTGTAGGTCTCCCGCTTGTGGCTAGCCCTAATCAACTGGAGAAGTTTTCTGTTTGCAATCACACGCCACACATCAGAAAGTTTCTATGCAAAAATAGTACTATGATGTTGTCTTTTTATTTTTCAACCACTCTATCAAGAGAAATGTATCGGAATATTTGTTTAATTTTTCTATTTTTGTAAGTATGAACCTCGTACCGCATCAACGCTCATTCTGGTATCGCGATTATGGCCTCTTGGCGATATATAAGTTATACCTACATAATTACATAATGAGGGAACCTTGCCAGTGGTTTGCATTGCCGCCGCCTGAAGCGGATGTTCCTAGCAGCATGAGGAGGCGGTGAGCGGGGTTTGTGTGAGGCGCCTATATATATATAGCCGATATGACTCTTTGTGTTCCAAAAATCCTGATATTTATACATGTTAATACCCACTCAGCCCTGAGAGATATATTGTAGCAATTACCACTGGCATTGGTCTTTACCTTATTTTATGCAAGAAAGAGCCCAGACTAGAGCTGGGTTCTATCATCTATGTACCATGCTCTCACGTTTGATGGACGTTTTGACATGGTATTCTCGAGATATCCTTATGTGTACGCGACGGGTCAACGGACCTCAGTCGACCTGACGCCACACCCTTTAGGATAACCAATCGTGTCATCTCGATTACTATAGCATATTACACTACGGCATCACTGTGGACGTCAGAAATTGTGGCGTACGACGGTGCTCACATTTGCACCGCAGATAAACAGCGTCTCAGCACTCCATGGGTGGTGTGAACAGAGAAGACCCTTGAAGTGTCATGACGTATCCAAATCTGAGAGTCGACCTCATGGCTCTCCGGCGGGTCCCGAGGTCGAGTCAGGGTTGAACTATGTAAGATACGGAGGGACCTATGCTGCGGTGTCTTATAATAGTATTCGACAGACAAGCCCCATCGATACCTCAAGAAGGTCAAGAGGGGTCAGATTGAACTAATATGCGGTATTACCGTATATGCGAGATTGACAAAGGAGATGGCAAAAAGAAGTCTTATTTGACATGCGGGGTTTCTGCACTTTCCCGAGGGAGCTTGATGGCATGCTGCTTTTTGGTATCGTTGCCGTTTCATTCATCACTTATTAATTACTTCATTAAAAGTAGAGGAGGAGATCAAAGAACGAAACGATGGAGGCTTAAATGGTTACAACCTTGATGGCGTAAGGGTTAGGTTGGAGTTGGCATTCGAAACTTAAGGCACAGTAGTGTTTGTTGAAATGCGGTGTCTCTATCACGCGCTCGAGTTTGTAAGCAAGGACCTATGAAACAATGTATGGAAAAAATATTAATGGGTCCTTTGTAGCCTTGGATGAAGCTCGACAATCTAAATGATAAGTGTTAATGTTGTTCCGGGGTTGTTGCGGGTATATTCCGTGTATACTTCAAGAGCCGGCGGATGAATCATAGAGGGTGTATGGATCTTAGGGACAGAGACGCAGTTCAAGTAAACCACGCCGGAGTGGCAGTTATGTATATACCACTGACTTGTACAACAAGGATAAGGCGTGTATTGAGCTGTTTCTGAGCTCTCTCCGCAAGACTTGATGGTTATACGTTTTCGTCCATGTTCATCAGTGTTTCCTGATGAACTTCAAGTTTTGATTCGCCGGGCGTTATATGGAAGGAATCCATGGCGAAGTAGGTGTGTTGCGACACTTGGCATATAAGGGGGATCATTTATTTGTCTTCATATGTTTTGTGGAGTTAATATACCACGCAGTATAACGTTCACAATAAGTAGTGGGCTCAAAGGCGTCGTGTAATAATATATCCACCTCGGGGGCGCGGGCGATCTCGGAATACTCATGGAGAATGATTCGGGACATCATGTTTTCGAAGCCTTTTCCAAATCTTTTCCAAGGGCGTTCTGAGATCGAAAAGCGCCATATAGTCAGCTGTAGGGAAAGATTAAGTTCAGTTGAAAGCCTTGGAAAGTTCGTGGAGTAGGCTTGATACGGTGGTTTCATCCCCCGAGATCTAATGCAGCTTATCCAACTATGGGAGTATCGTCGCCACATACAGGTCTTTGGCACTAGCTTCTGCCACGTGTTCTGGCCAACTCTATAAAATAGTCCATAAGATCGTACTAGGATGTGACTTAGGCGTAAAGTCTTCCTGCTATCTATACAGCCTGAAAGTTCATGACGAACGGCTTGGCAGTGATGGATCGGTTCATGTCAAGGTACTAGTAAGAGACCTAGGACTTGGAGGCTGAAATACAGCGTTAAACCATGAAAAACCCACTTTCTGAATCCACCAAGCCTTCTAAGCATAGTGTCCATAGGAAAACACTCAAGTGGGTTCACTGGCGCGCACTTGCGGCTTGAATGCAAGGATCCTTGGAGAATATTAAACTAGGAGCTTGGCGAAGCCAGAGAGGTGTCCGAAAATTCATCACTAAAGACTCTGGAAAAATAGCAAACGTCATGCTTTGGGAGAGGCACACACCGTTGGGCAGAATGAAGTCATTTCTATCAGGGGGTTGCTTCCAGAACATGGGAAACAGTAGTCTGAACAAGTTGAAGTGATATTAGAGATGGAGTACAAGAAACAGAGAGAATGAGAAAGCAACCTGTTTGGGAATTCTAACAAAAGAGAAGGAATACAAAATGAACTTTGAGTCCATGGTTTAAGCTTGAAGCTTGAAGATCTACATAGGAACAAGAGCGAAGCAAACATAGAGGTAATGAAGTCGACATTATAAGTTTAAAGTAGTAGGAGATCCATTATCCATTTCAAATATCGTATCTTGTCAATGTGTAATGTGTTCGACGAGAGCGCCAGGTTGCCAGGACATGAAGTTGAGTATATGGGCCGAGGAAGAAGTCCGAGCAGAAGGCAATCTTACACTTTTTTTAAAAATATACTGCAGTATTCCAGAATTTAATTTCATGGACTTCATTCTCGTATGCGGTTGCAATAGGACTTACATAAATATAGAGTATTTGCAACTAATGAAATATTAGTAAACTGAATTGGTTCCTAATATTCATATCAGGAACACATTCTTAATATATATTAGTTGCAAATACTCTCTAATAACTACCGGCCTGGAGGTCTGATGTGGGGGTCACGTAGTGCAATGGCAACCTTAATCTACCTATTGAATAAGTTCTCGGTTCAAATCCGAGCGTGACCATCTCTACTTTTTTGCACATTTTTTGTTGAATCGTCTCCCAACTCATGGCAAACTCGAAGCTGAGGGTCTTTTTGGAGTAGTTTTTCGGACTCTGTGAATATAATTGAATCACTGCTCAGATCAATGTGCAAAACGGAGACTCCGTCAACTCAGAACTTGCGTCCGCCTCGTTCCGTACAAGTGATTTTTGTTGGCAATGGCTCCTCCGGCGCGTGCAACAGATCGTTTCTTGTGCTTTTTCGCCATGCATGGTCATTCTCGGGGTGAGGCATGTAGCAAATATCAAATTCTATACACTACTATCGCCACAGTTGCCTGTACTAAATCCAAACGCATATACTCTATAGTAGTGCGGGATTAACAATAGTCATGAAAACTCTCAGAGCCGTGTTGGAAGGAAGGGGTCCAGTGAAAACGAAAAAACTTCGTGAATAATTTGGCCTCTCTGTTTGAAAGTGGCGGTGGTGTCTAGGTGTTTGCACCATGTAGCAGGTGACGAAGAATTGCTATCTACGTACGGCAAACAATAGAAATCGATCGAAAGCTTTGAGGTATCTGTTATTATAATATTATAACATTGTGGTGATTGCGGGCCTGGGCACTCGCCAAGCCACCAGGCAGCATGCCACATACTCCGAATAGTGAGCGGTCATAAGCACCTCGCTATTGTCTGGGAATGTGCCCACTACAGCAATAGTGCAGGATGTACTTGTTTTATTCATGACCCTAGAAAGCCATGGACTACACTCGAGAAAGGAAGGGCACCAACCGAGTACAACTATTGGTACCCTACACGATATGTATACCAATATAGAGATTGATCAGTGTTTGGTTGCAAGTTCACGGGTGATATGCATACATGTGATATGGTATCATATCCGGCTTGGAATTTCAATTATTTCATGCACATAAGGGTGCTGCATCAGGGAATGGGAAGATCAGTAAGTATGCCGTATATATTGTCTAGGGCCATCTAGGAGAGCGAGGAGAGAGCTCGCGGTTTAATCAACCATCGCTTTCCTTCCTTTCTTTTGTTTTGAACGCCAACCCATGTATAATATAACCATAGCAAAGCAAACAACTATCTTATCTTAACAGAAACTACTTGAATAGGATGAGGTGAAAGGAGAGGAAAACAACAAAACAACAATGATGGGAATCTAAACATAGCGGTCAAGGCACACCAGGCACCAAGTTGCCTTGAGGGATAAGTTGCGACTGTCCCAGTGATAGTTTGCGATATCACCGGGAGAAGCCTTAGGTCCAAATTTTTTTAGGATCCTCAGTAGAGGCTTATTTTATATAAACTCTGCCAATCACTCGTCGGATCCTTAACCGACTTGAACTCGGTTAAGGATCCAACATGTGATTGGCGGGTTTAGAATCCCACGAACTTTGGATCCTTTAACTCGGTTATGAATCTAACATGTCATTGCAGGGTTTAGAACTTTTGGATCCTCAAAAGATCCCATACCAATTTTAACTTTTATAACAATTAAATGGATGATTGTTGAAGTTTATATAAAATGAGGCTCTACTAAGGATTCTAAATTTTTTTGGAGATCCGGTGTATGTCACACGTCCTTTGCTGTCAGGGTGACCCCAAACGCTTGGTGGTGTAGTCTAGAGAGTCTAGGTAGTTTACATACAGGGCGTAGACATTCCCAAATCCCTGATGTGTTATCAAACGGAACGCACCTCCGAGGCACCACGGTTCAACTTGCGGCCAGGTGCCTTGACGGAAACTTCAGTCTGGATCAACGGGCTTGTCTCTTATTTTTTCCAAAGACGGAACACCGACAGACGCGAACCAGAAAAAAACGAAGTAGACGGCATACGAAACAGGCACAGATTATCATTTAGCGACACATGGGCGGGGTAGTATCTGTTCATGCTACATGTGAAGCCGTGATGAAAGGCTGCTGTCGGTGTCTGTGGTCATGTGCCACCGTGAGTAGTTCACTATTGGTGCCGTTTGAAAAGTCTGAGTGGTGACAATGGAATATAAATGTTCTACGTTCCCACAGCGACCAAGATGAAAAAACTAGATAGAAATGTGAACGGGGTATTGGAGGACTTGGTGATTTTTTTTCGAAATTTGCCCGTGATGAAATTGGGAGTCACTGCTTGCGGGGTGATATATGAGTTCTGAGAGTCTATTGGCTTTTATGAGACAAGAAATTGATTTTACTTCGATTATCGTTCTGAGGGAGGTCGATGAATCTAGAGAGGGGAACCATACCTAAAGATTATGAATTGTAGATATGAAGGCATCTAGCAAAGAATCAGCACGTACAATTTGCAATATAAGAGTGCATCCTATGAATCCCTAGTCAATCTTCCAGTTTGTCAAGGTGATATTGAAATATGTTTTCAATCCATCCTCGACATCATTCAATGTTCATCCACCTACAATAAATTTCGCATCATACATCATGTTGTCTTTTATGTCTCTAGAGGATCTAGGAATTAACCGAACAACAGTAGTAAAAGATGTGAAGTGGGTATTTGACATTGGATATTGAATAGGGTGAAGATGGAGAGTGAGTAGGATGGATCTTGGGATCTAAGATCGGTGTGACATGAAGGTCGGTGGGGACCGCAGAGATCCGTCGAAAAGACCGAGGAATTATGTACATGTGTATGTAAGGTCTGTATACATATACAAAAATGAATGATGTTCAGTGTTCGATGCATTCTGTCTGTGAGAGGTAAATATGAACATGGTAGGACGGGAAAAAGAGGGAACGCACTATAAATAAAAAATAATGCACACAATAAATTTTACCCATAACAAACCATCTTCTGCAGCCTCTAATGAAGTCTTTGCAGAATATACGTGACTTCTCCGAGGGTCGTCAAATCGATCAGATTGCGATACAACGCATGGGCCGCAGTCCTAACAGCAGTAACAAAGTCCGCAGGAAGAATTGCACCGGCAGCGATATAGGCCGTCGCCAACGCATTCGCAGCGGCATCCGCAGAGGCAAGGACGACGCCTTCCTGGGTGACATTCTGGAGCGCGGTGTGAATGGCGGTGACGTTGTTCGCTCGGATGAAAGACGTGAAGCCGGGTACGTCTGAGGCGAATTTCGCCTCGGCGACAGCGGCGCTGACGGAGGCGCGGTTGGCCATCACCTGGAGGAGCTGGACGTCAAGGGCGAGGACGGCGTCGTCGTCGAAACGGTCTGGGAAGAGGTTCGTGGTGGCGTTGGAGAGGTGGGCGAAGTATCCGCCAATGGTAGTGTCGAGGAGGGGGATAAGGGTGTCCGTGTACCAAGCGGTGAGGTTGGCTGCAGGGCTGAAGTCGCTGCTGTGGTAACGGCCGGGGGGATAAGTGTTGTTCGCGGTGGTTTTGTCGGGTGTGATTGTGTTGAACGTGAATGCGGACTCAAGGGTTCCGTAGGCGTAGCGTCCGAGGGAGGATGCGGTCATTTCGCGAGTGAACATGTAATTATGGAGAGCGCAGGAGGAGCCTTGGTAGAGGGATGGTTTGACGGGGAGGGACATACGTTGTACAAGCGTACTGATTATGGCGGGTTGAATCCTCGCAAGAATATCACGCACTTCGGTGAGAGTTGGAGTAAGGAAGTATTCTGAGGCTTGGGAAACTTGGGGAGCAACGACAATGGCAGAAACAAGAGATAGGAATGAGGCTGCGAGAACTGATAATACTGCGATACGCATAATGAGAAGTCGACAAAGAGTGAAAAGAGTGTAAGGTTTGGTTTTTAGTTTTAGTTTTGGTTTTATGAAACTTTCGAGTCCAACTCGATGGGAAAAATGCAGTATCATGACGTAATCATCTACAGCCATTTGATCCCAGGGACGAGGGACGCAACAAAGTACACCTAAAGCTATAAATAAAACACATTAAAATAGATAACATGCTCACACTCTAAGCATATTCCCAGAGCTCTCCGATTTTCCAATGGCCTGATTGCGGCTTTCTATATTAGGCTTGGGATCGACTGTTACCTGTTCTAATCGGCCGACAGATACTCACACGATTATAAACTGCCACAAAAATGGTTGTTGTAATCTCATTGTGAGAATCGAGGTACCACAAAAGGCACATTTGTTGATCCCTGCCCCACTCGCCTCCGTAACGGAGCACTGTAATTCTTTATTGATGTTTATATATCTGGAATTACATTTCTGTTTTTGTCGCAAGGTCTTTTCAGGGGATATGAATAAGTATGCCCATATTCACTCTGCAGCCATCATGCTACTGTGTATTACTTGTATTACTTCACGATTAAAAAGGAGAGGAATAAGTTCCAACAAGCTCAGTTCGCTACAGGCATGAATCAAAATCAAAATGTACTACTACTTCCCCCGTCAGTATCAAGATCACTCTACCGATTGTCGATTACCATTGGCGGGAGCACCACTGATCCATTCTATTTTATATCCATTTTGGGTTATCATCTTCACATCTTGCAGCTCACAAGCGGGACCACTGACAGTGTACTAGACTTCAGACTCACGCTAAGCCAACCACAGTTCCCACGACTGTCGAATCTCTGATATCACATATCAGAATGACTAGCTGATATCGGGGATTGGTCCATCAATGGTTATTCTTGTTGGGGAACAGCTGAAAGGATCAGATGTAACACCGAATTAGGTTATATTGTGTCACGATGTGCAAGACGGTGCATATGACCTTGACATTTCTACCCGCCGCCTTTCTCGATGTTCTGCTCATTTCTCCTCAAGCACATACATATATGGTCAATCTCTCCCTCTGATGTATATTATTCATTCTACAAATCTAGACTAGTCACACAACCGAAACGCGGGAAGTCAGTATATAACCTGAAGCCTAAGGAAGGGTAGGATCAGAACATAAAGGGGAAAATACATATTATTGTTTGACGCAAAATTGTCTATCAACATTTCTCTAATCGCTGGCTCTCGAAAGAAATGTTAAACTGGGAGGCAACCTTCAGTAGTAGAGAAGTATCTCTAAGAGCCGCACTGCTACCAGTTACTGA